CCCACCGCCAGTTTCTAACCTTGCAAGCTGTACCATACTCGCCCGATTTCTTACCTTGCAAACTGTACCCAACTTTGTTTTTTTTTTTTTTTTCCGGCAAGCTGTACCCACCCAGTTTCTAACCTTGCAAGCTGTACCAGACCCCGCGCAGTTTTTAACCTTCGTACCTGGTCAGTTTCAAATCTTGCGAACCGCAACTGTGCCACCATTTCCAACCTTGCAAACCTTACCTGTGCGGTTTCCAACCTTGCAAAACGTTCCCACCTGGTTTCTAAACTTCCAGACCGTAACCGCCCATAACCATTACACTTTTTGCAACAACTGCCAAATAACGGTGGTTACCGGTGGGTAGGGGTACCCGATGCCATGCTCTGGACACAGGTCCCTTGTAGCAACAACAGTAGCATCAGTGAGATCTTGCCTTAGAAAGTGTCCAGAAAGAGGGATTTCTGTCTCTGCACATCTCTCTCTCTCTCTCTCTCTCTCTCTCTCTCTCTCTCTCTCTCTCTCTCTCTCTCTCTCTCTCTCTCTCTCTCTGTGTCTGTATATTTCTTTAAGTTCTCTCTCCCTCTCTTTCCCCTCTTACACACTCACTCACCCTCTCTCATATCCCAGTGCTCTATGCCAATGGCAGGCAGGAAGCATAACAGTCAGCGTAGGCTCACATACTTCTCGACCTATGGTACAAAACCGACACGGGTAGGACGCTTTGATCTGAAAGTGTGATTCCAACTTGCAAGAGAGAGTGGCAATGCCCAATGCCCAGTACGGTCCACCCCCCAAACACGAGGCATATCTCAATTTCGATTTTCGAGTCAGTTTTTGCAAGTTAATTGTTAACCTTAAAAAGAGATATCCAACCCATAACAAAAACCCGAAACAAAACATGTCACAACTCTGCATATATCATGTCCAGATGCCGCCGCCGCTGTACTTACCTTTAGAAAGCATGCATGGTCTTCCCTCAGATATGTCCCATTAGGTCGCATCTTCTTATTCAAGTTCCATAACATAGGTTTCAAGTACGATACATAGACCTGTAAACAAAACCAAAAGAACAAAAAAAAAAAGAAAAAAAAGACCTGCAATCCCACTGGGTCAATAGAGCAGCCCAGTGAGTGAAACCAACAAATACTATCCAATGCTATTATCCAAGTCACAGTTTTTCCTCCGCGACCTTGTGATTTGTTTGTCCTCCTTGCACAGGGGGGCATGCTAATCTTCTATCCATTGTTCCAATTTTAATGCACATCCAATGCCTGCGGTTGCGGTCCTATATGAAATTCAATCCCAGCTCGCTTTGCCTTGTGGCACGTGTTCTGCTTTGAGATTAGCAGGTTGCCAGTTCTTCAATGCTAATCTTCTTTCCATTGTTCCAATTTTAATGCACATCCAGCGCCTGTGGTTGCGCGTGTACCAGAGCGTGGGACACGTGGGCCCATTTTTGAAAGAGAAAAAGAGAGAGTGCAATCTTCTTTCCATTGCTCCGATGATATAATGCACATCCAAAGCCTGCCTGCGGTTGCGCGTGTTCCTACATGAAATTCAATCCCAGCTCGCTTTGCCTTGTGGCATGTGTTCTGCTTTTGAGATTAGCAGGCTGCCAATTCTTTAATACTAATCTTTAATCTCCTTGCCTTGGAGTGGGCGATTTCATGCGCTCAAGAGATTTGGCTTGTAACGGTACTTGGAAGGCAATGGTTAACCAATGAGCAATGAAATTAGTCAACCCCTTTTGGCTTTTGGGGTCTTATTTTTGGGTTGAACATTACAATTTACAAGTGTGCGGATGGCATGAGTGGGTAGAAGGGGAAAAAAGCAAATCAGATGCGAGAACTTAACAATGGTGTGAGGAACTGGGTCCTCGGCAGGCCTAAGGGGCCCCTGCTACAGATGTGCCCGCCCTGGGCCTAACGAATCTCGAGAGGCCCTCAACTGTCAATTTCGCATTTGGGGTCCGACCGTCCAGGCAGTTGTGACGCGCCAGTTGGTTGAGGCAAACACAGGCCGAACAGCAAAGACATTCACGGCCTACCAGGCTTTTCCGCGAAATGCAGGCCCTGGGCAAGAATCGCAGCTTCATACACAGACAGTTGGGAGGCCCAACCGAACGAGGCCCAGCAGCTGCATCGGAGGCACAGCCTCCTGGGTCCTACCGGAAGCTTCTGGCCAGAGGCCCAGGCCAGCCAGGCTGCCGGGGGAGGCAGGCTCTTTCCATATAGGAAAGAGCTTGCTGCCTGGAGGCTCGTTCAGGCACTTGCCAGATGCTGTTGCAGCGCTGCTGGAGCGATTGCTCGCGGGCTGCTTAGCGCTAAGGGCAAGGTGCTGCACATGTGCGGTCGTGCAGGAAGCAGGGCGCTGCTGAGGGCAGCGCCATAGCCCAGAATCCATAGCTGGATGGGCTAGGAGTACAGTGAGGCGCAGGGGTGGTCTTCGGGTGTACAGAGGGAAGACGTGGGTGTAAGTCAGGGGAGAGAGAGAAGGATGATGATGATGATGATGTGAGGGCACATACCTGGTATTGGCGATGGTCTGCATTGGGCGACATCTTCAAGTACTTCATGGGCTGCTGACGTCAACAGTTGCATTGTCAATTAGTAGGCAGATTGTAGCTGTGTAGGAAGTAGGCTGGGCGCCGAGCGCCAAGTAGGGAGAAGGGACTGGACTCTTATGTTGGTGGTGGCGAGAGCAAGCTCTCGTTGACATTGGTTTTCAGTGTTACGAATCGCCATTGGTGTCATATTGGCGCAATGCTGCTTTCTGGACACTGAGATACTATCTGGCTTTCAATGTGATTGCGCACCGTGGATATTGTCATCTCGCTGTTGCTCAGTTTCCTTGCAATGGACCCAAAAAAAGAAAAAAAGAAAGAAAATGCTTCCAATAGGGCAAAGTGGCATTGCTGTCATCAACAGGGCAGATCAGAAGAAGCTCAGATGTGTAAATCATAAATATGGGTCTCGCAGTGGTCGCACACTCAGATGTGTAATACATTGGCCTCCCTTCTCCACTGCACAACATTCTAAACGTACCTGGATATCTCTTTGGTCCCAATACATTCAAAACTTTCGATCAGTCAGAATGTATCCGGTGCCAAATTACTGTCCAGATACACGTCAAAATGTTGAGTAGTCTAGCAAGGCCCTATGTTTCCTGCTGGTTAGTTTGGACAACTCTTCAACGACAGGCAATAGATAGCAAGCAGAACAAAAAAAGAGTGCTCAATGGACTTAGCTCGAACCCTAAACCGAAAGTTCGTGGTCCTTTTCCATAATTTATGCTTTGCTTTCAATGTCTCCAAAATGTTCAAGAAGTCCAAGGGCTCACCAAAAACTTGCAGTGACAAGGATTATATAATTGTAGCTTCTCATGTTATTTAAGACTTTTTTTTTTTTTTTTTTTTTTTTTTTTTAGAACAACCCGATCAGGTGCTAGGTGTGCTGATAAGAGCAGACACATCTAGCACCGTCGGGGAGGCTCCAACTATTGGTGGGGAGCAGCACCTGCTGGAAATCGGGTCCAGCGTCCCATTGGATACATCTTTGTGGTACATTGTTAAGACTCTTAGGGCAGGGCATACTCACACTAGGCCCTCAAAATGAAAAAAATCTCAAAATGAGCGGCCAGATTGAGTCCTTGTAAAAGAAGGACTCAATCTGGCCGCTAACTTTGTGATTTTGTGATTCTGAGTGCCTAGTGTGAGTATACTCTTGATCCACCACTACCTCCAAGACTCTTTTTACCGAGGAGGAGAAGAACTGCGCACCAAGCTTTGCCGAAGCTCCACGGCGACTTTTTTTGGCTGGTGCTGCCAACTCCGGTGGGCCCCGGGCCCCAAAGAATGCGGTATAGGTTGTAGCGCATTACTAGGAGGTTCCTGAGTTTGCCTGTGAAAGGTAGTGGTGGTTTAAACCACCAGTACCTTTCTCAGCTATGGATGCTGAGGCAAAAATGATAAAATCGCTGTGCGCGCCAAAAAAAAGGAACCAGTGTGGGGCTGCTTGAAAGGCACTGGTGCTCTAAGATTTTTTTTTTTTTTTTTTTTTTTTTTCAAGCATCCCGTTGGGATGCATTTGATGGTAATTTGTAAGTTCTCATCTCACTGATGGCATCCGTTGTAGGATAAAAACTTACAAATTACCATCAAATGCATCCCATAAGGTTCTTTCTTGGGATGCATTTGATGGTAATTTGTAAGTTCTCATCTCACAGTTGGCATCCCTTGAGGCTTGAGGTGAGGAGCTAGATCCTCTTCTGACAGACAGCCTGTTTTCTCTCCATCCCAAATATGGCCCACTCTCTATGCTCCGTGATTAATCCATGATATCCATCTCCTTCCCCGTGGCTTGAGAGAGAGTGGGTGATCACTTTCCTCTCTCACCCAAGGATTCCCAAAGAGGGGTTGTCTCAAGACTTCCAGGGGGGCTGACTTCATTAGAAGCAGTCCCTCTTCGTTGGTTTCTCCGGCCTGTGTATCCTTTTTCTTTCTTTTTTTTCCCCCCTTTTTTCCAACACTGCCTTCTACCACTCCTCTCAGGAGCATAGCAGCAATTGGGAATGGTCAATGGATTTCCATATGGGATCACATCATTCACAGTTACGCCACCAGTACACTGCCATACATCGGCCGCAGTGTGACGCCCAAACTCACGCCCAGCGTGACTTCGTGTTTCGCAGTGGGAGTGGGCCTGGAAGTGCGTAAAAGGGGTGTGCCAAGGATTTTAGGAAAGTGGGGGTGGATTCCCAGGTCGGAACTGAGATGTCCTGTGTCAAATTTCAAGGACAGAAGTGCACGTGGTTAAGCGAGGGACCAGGTTTTCTGTTTTACCCTTCTCAGAACCGGGCGGCTAGTTTCGCCGGCCTCGTCGCCTGGGGCGGGTTCGTACTCTGTGTACAGAGGGAACACAATCGGTGTCTCTCTATGTAAACACTTGTCGTCGATGGGTTTCGCAGATCTCGGAGTCTGACGTGGATGGCCTCAGCCGGAGATTGTTCTCGACGCTCAGCTTCGGAACGGTTCGTCTGACAAATCCTGCGGCTCGATAGGTGTAGTACTGCTGGCACTCAGAGCACGGCCTTCGAGGCTAGTAGGGGGCTATTGCATCCCAAGGGAAGACCGTTAGATTGTGATAAGGGAGAACGAGATAGAATGGAGGGAAGTTAGTTTCAATGGTGACGAATCCCGGTTTCACGTAGTACTGGTGGTTGCGGGTGTCGGGGTAATCCGGGATTCGAGGATTTTGTCCTATGGCCCTCTGGAAGTCCCATGCACACAACCCATCGTTCTCAGTTTGGCAGGGATAGGCCGAAAGCCTCGAGTTCGATCGACGGAAGAGGTGTTCATTTTCCCAATATTCTCGGTACTCGGGGTCCCTCAGACAGTCACGGCCGTGACCCAGAATGGCCTACCGAAGTCCATACTTTGCAAAAAAGACTTAATTCATTCTTCCGTGCGTGCAAGATGCGATCGGATTGGAGACAGATCATGTAGACATGCGTATATGTAATGATGACCTTTCCGTAGTCATTCGTATACGTGCGTGCACATGATCGCCTTCCAACAGAGGTTGAACCACTCGTTATGCATACATCTAATCTACTCCTGGTCTTACTTCGAACAAACGATACCCGTAGACCTAATGCAAATCAGACAACCGTTCGATGCAAAATACATCCTCCTATGAGCAGAAGGACAAGATAAGGAATAATTTTCTCACGCAACGTGAGGCAAAGCGTTTGGATCATGCATAGGGAAGATCCAACCCATATATATGCGCATCTGTCTCCGAACAGGCTGTAAGACTACCCATTATGCACGCATCTATTCTTTCCCAGGTTTATTCAATGAAACGACATCTACGGATTTAATGCAAAACTAGACAATCCGATCGACGCGACGTGCACAAAAATACGGGTGCGCAAGAGAAATCAGCAAGATGCCCATACCACACCCCCTGATTCAGCAATCGACAACATCCATTCTTTCAAAGCAATCAAACGATCAATCGATTTTGGCAACCATCATACATCCTGTATCGTAAAGAAGAGATGAGGGAGAAAGATACAATCCACACATCAAGCGAAGAAAAGAGAAATCCGAGATTACCGCAAACGAAGATGGTCAGAACCAAAATCAAAATTATACAGAGGATGCGAAGAGATAACCCCACTTTAACCTCTCTCTCTCTCTCTCTCTCTCTCTCTCTCTCTCTCTCTCTCTCTCTCCTGTCTCTTATACACATCTAGATGTGTATAAGAGACAGGTCTCTCTCTCTCTCTCTCTCTCTCTCTCTCTCTCTCTCTCTCTCTCTCTCTCTCTCTCTCTCTCTCTCTCTCTCTCTCTCTCATCGTTTCTCCGATGCGGGCAGTCTGTCGTCGTGCACCTGCCAACAGCCCGAAGTTGTCACCCCGCTTAGTCCGAGCATGTAAGCCAGGTTCCCCCGTGTGCCACAGTCCGTCACGGTCACATGTCAACCCCGCATACGCAGCACCAGCCCGTCGGATCGCCCAACTCCCTACTCAGCGCCTCGTCTCTGCTCGTTAGCCGATCCTCTCGACCACGCTAACTCCCAAATGTAGATTACATAACGAATTAGTCGCGCTTGCAAAATTTATAGCACTCGGTATTTGTGCGAGATAATTCCGGATTCCGCTGAAGCAGGAGAAAGAGAGAAGGAGGGAGTGCCTACAGATGCATGATTGGGCTGTGGCGTGGGGGCCATAGCCACTCTCCACGCATCGATCCAGTCATGCATCTTCTCGGCCAATGAGATAGACAGAAGAGAGATGCACTTTTTGCGCGGAAGGAAATCAAGAGGGAGAGGATTATAGTTACACCCGAGCTTGCCAAGAAGGAGCAAGAAGAGATTACAGTTGCGATTAGAATTTAGGCGCGGAGGGAATAGAGCACAGGACAGGACACGGCAAAACGCGTGCGAGTAAGGAGCATTGTGCAGTTACAGCGGCAAAGACCGGTGACAAATTACGATGTCCCCAATTCCTAGCCCAATTAAAGTCCTAATTCTCGTATTTCAAAATTCAAAAAGATTTATCCCGCGTGATGATCGCACCAAAGTTCCCTTCCCCACTTTTAGCAGAACAAGAAAGAAGCTACGACAACAGTTATTTCCGCGCTCGCTAAGGCGCGGCCCAACTACCAACCGCCATGGGACCGAGCTTTCGCAAAAAGACGGGGGCACTTGTGCAATTGGGTCGGCCCCTCTTTTCATCCCCCAAAATATAGTCGCGCAGAAAGTCGCGCGTTTCAGAAAGTAGTTCGTCACAGCAGGCCCCTCGCCGCAATTTTTGGAGGCCGGAAACACAACAAAGGCCATTGATGAAATTCATCAACTGCGTCCCCGACCTGAAAGTTGCCGAGTAGGCAATAAGCTTATTTTCTGCAAGGCTGGGGTCGTGTACTGGCGGTTTATAGGGTGGGATACCGGACATGCCATACTGCACCACCTAACACCAAAGCGGTAAATCGGTGGACCAGGGCTCGCTGCTGCAGTGAGGGAAGATTTTCACAATTTCTCATAGACAACATACTGTCATTTACTGGCCACCAAATCACATTGGGAAATGGTGGCGGTTTTGGGGCTTGTGAAGGGAGAGGGGATTGAAGAAGCAGGTGGGGAGAGGTGGGTATTCCTCTCCCCACCTTCTGCCCTCCCTCGGCTCCCCTCTCCCCACATTTCCCCCTCCCTCCTTACCCTTCGTGGAAATGGATTGAAAGTTTTTAAAGAGAGAGAGAGAGAGAGAGAGAGAGAGAGAGAGAGAGAGAGAGAGCAGACACACACACACACACACACACACACACACTGATATGGAAATGGAGATGGGGGGGAGTCTAAATTGCCTGAAGTCAATGTCTCTGGTCCACTGACAGGCACGGAACTGCAGTCAAGCAATGGGCGGGAAAAAAGGGCAATAGTTTGAATTGAAACTGGTCCCGCCCTTCACTTCACGTCCTGTTCCCAGGCCCGTTTGGCCTAGCACCTGGTCCAGCTTCTTTGGGTCACGCGTTAAACAGGCAGTACATGGCCCCAGCCTTGCTGAAAAGAAAACTCGTCGCCTACGAAATTTTCGGAGGCCCAGCGCCTTAGATAAATTGAATCGGCGGCGGGCGGCCTCTGAAAATGGCCCGCGGCCAATAGCTGGATGTACTGGTGGTTTAAGCCAAATGGCTATCCAAAAACAATGTTTTGTGCAGTTTCAAGTTCCGAGCTGCACTTTTTTAACAGGCCGAAACTGGGTAAAGACTTTGTATAAGGAACACTGGACCCAATTTCCAGCAGGTGCTGCTCCCCACCCATAGATTGGAGCCAGCTGGCGGTCCGCTAGTGGTGGGGGCTAGTATCGCCTCCATTAGCACCCTCGGCTGCATTAAAAAAAGAAAAAAGAAAAAGAAAGGATCTGCAGTTTCAATTTTGGGCCACATTTTTTTGCGACCTGCAGTTACGTTTTCCAGTGCCCAAACTGAAACGGCACCTTTTTTTTTAATCTTTTCTTTCAAGTTATCCCTTTTTTTTTGGGAAAAAAAAGAAAAAAGGGTGATGGCCTTGAGATATCGTCGTCAAACTGACCTGACCGGCCAGTAAGTAATTCAGAATAATTGTAGTATTTCACTCATCTGCTTCCAGTGGAGTTCGAACTCAGCACCTGGTCTGTATTCCAACCATTCGTTCAGGCGAGGTGGTGAGGAATTGTAGTATTTCACTCATCTGCTTCCCGTGGAGTTCGAACTTACCACCTGGTCTGTATTTATTTCAACACTTCAGGAAATGTAGAATTTCACTCATCTGCTTCCAGTGGAGTTCGAACTCAGCACCTGGTCTGTATTTCAACAGTTCGGGTGTATACCAACTGAGTTAGGCCAGTTGTTGGTACTTTCAAGTTATCCCTAATAATTAATTATTTAATATTTTAGTTATTAATTAGTAATTACCGACTATATGAACAGGACAGTCCCCACTGACCTCAATGTTTTCAGCTCCATATTGTTGCTCCGCTGCATCTTCTGCCATCCCAATGCAGCCGTACTCAAGAGGTGTATAGACTGTTGCAGGGACCTGCATTGCTTGTGTTTATCCACTCACACACAGCCCAACACAAAAGCCCTCGCATGTACACATCCATAGACACACACACAGACAGTTGTGTGTGTGGTCAGTGCTTTCTTGTTACGTAAGTCTTTTGGGTTGTGAACTTGTGGTGCAATTAATTTTGTGTGTGTGTTGTGTAATTGCCATTTGTTAAGTATGTCGCCTTTTGCCCTCCATCCAGAAGTGCCCCGTAAACCGCCGGCAGAGAGGGAGAAGAGGACAACAAACAAGGGGCTGTGACAAACTGTTATATTATAACATTGCTGTGCCTCTAGTGCCAGCGACGTGTCTGGGGTGTATTTTTTGGCTGCTATAGACCTTTCTTTGTTTCGCGGGTGTTTTGCTGGCTTGTGATGGGGTGTGAACTGACAGTAGAGTTTTCCATCTGGTGCGGGTGAGTGATAGTCTGCTTTGATTTCGTAACAGGTACCTTGAGGGCAGTAGTTGGTGCCCACCTCAGGGTATCAGTTGTCGGGCAGTCATTGATGCTTAACCACAACCAGGGTTAAGGTGGATTATCAATTTATCACTGACAGTGTAATCAGTTAGGGGATTCTGCAAACAAACGAGGGGCTGTGACAAACTGTTTCGTCAGAATTTCACCGACTCATCAGGAGGCTGAACCCATACATATATACCGTCATATATATATATATCGTCAAATAGAACTGCCCGGTAAACCGTAGGCAGAGAGGGAGAAGAGGACAACAAACGAGGGGCTGTGACAAACTGTTTCGTCGGAGTTTCACCGACTCATATATATATATATATATATATTGGTGCAAGTGTGCAGCTTCGACGGCAGACGGGTGTGTGGGCACTTGGTGCTTAAGCACACAAACGTGGCCAACCTTGTCCGGACTAGTGTCTGGACCGGTCTGGACTGTCCGGTGATCCGGATATCACCGGACACCCGGACATCACCGGACCCCGACAGTCCGCACCTGTGTCAGGGGGTACAAAATGTCCGGACCAAAAAAGAAAAAAAAAGAAAAAAAAAAAGGGGGAGGGGTGGGTGAGTGGGTTGGGATGTTGGCAGGCACTCACCTGCTTTGCACTTTGTAGTTCAGGCAGCAGAGCACCTGTCTTGCGGCAAATCAACAAGCACATTCAACTAGAAGCAGACATGCAGAGTTGCAAACAGTGCAAAGCAGGCACAAGACTAAAGAAACAGAAAAAAGAAAGAAAAAAAAAGTATGATTAACTTTGAAGTTTGAACTTTGAATTAAGTAATTTAAGTTCATAACTTCATACAACTTGAAGTTAGAACCTCACAGTTCAATTCAGAACGTCAGAGTCGTCAGGCTGGCAGCACTGTCAGTGCTCTTCTCTCTCTCTCTCTCTCTCTCTCTCTCTCTCTCTCTCTCTCTCTCTCTCTCTCTCTCTCTCTCTCTCTCTCTCTCTCTCTCTCCCCCCAACGGGCAGCAGTGGCGGGCAGCACATCACCCGCCACCCAAAAAACCTGCAGTGTCTTGTGTCCGGACCTCTAGGCCCTGTCCGGTGGGGTGAAACGACACTGAAAAATCACCCAGTTATTTTTTGAGGGGCGGCCAGGGCCCGAGACACGTCCTGGGCTGGCTCTTTTTTTTTTTTAATTTTTGCCTTGGGGGCCTCCATCCGGACATCATGGACTGGACACCAGACCGGGACATGTTGTTCCGGACTGTCTGGAACCCGGTCCGGACGTCCGGTCGGTTACCATGTCGGCAACCTCGTTTGTATATGGCTGATGTAAGCATCACACCTGTTGCAGGGCTCAGCGACCCAGCGACCTTCTCTGTTGTCACTGCTCTTAACACACGTTAGCAAGCAACAGCAACATCGAATCTGATGTCCGCAACGTGGCGATAATTTCTGCAGTACTACTGACCTGTGTGTGCACCCTGGGGTGCTGCCCCCTTCGGCACTTGCACACCTGGCAGCTGCCTTGGGAACGGGCCTGGCTGATTTCCGCTCCCTGCATTCGGTCCCCCTACTACTACCACCTTGCTTCCACCCACCCGTTGTCCCGGCACCTAAACACAATTTCTTGCTCTTTCTCCAGTCGCAATGATGCACCCTCCGACCATTTCTGGAGCCTCCTGGTGATGGCAACCTTCTCGCAGGGGGCGACCCATCATCAGATTGGAAAACAAGGCCGGATTTGGACTTCTCACGCCACATGCAATCCCGGCCAGAAGTCAGATATTTTTCTTCTTCAAATTCTTGCACCTTCTTTGACCCACCTGTTTTTTTTTTTTTTTTTCCGGCAGGGGTTCTCCCCTTCCCTGTCAAGCAGACAGATAGCCTACCCAAAACTTTTTAATTTTTTTTTCCCCTTTTTTCGGAAATTTTTCCTACTTAAAACTTGAGTCTCAAAACTTTGAAATTTGAACTCGCAGACAGAGAGCTGGCAAACGCAATGGCATGATCAGGAAAAGGGAGAAGTAGGAGAACAGACTCTCCTCCCCATACTAACCTCACAATAGTCCGTGAATTCCTTGCCCCCCCCGAACAGCCGCTTTGCGAGCAATGTCCCTGTTTTTATTGCGACGGCCGCAAGCTCCTGCTTCCCTTCGAGAACATCTCCGACTGCATAGATATGTTTCACATTTGTCTGCAGCACAGAAGCTGGCAGAATGTGACTTTCTGGATGTCAAATGTGTGGCAATCATGTACACGGGTGGACGGAACAGACATAACATAAGATACTGTGTACTGACCCCCCTACCAACAGCAGCCTGCAAAATACTACCAAAAAAAGCATTAGTCATCCAAATGAAGAAAAATTTTCCAGCCATAATGGGGAGAGCGCTGAGGAACTCTTGTACTTCAAGAGCCTGTGCACTCAATTCTGCACTCTGGACATTCGGCTTACTGCGAATTCGTGAGACAGGACGAGCATGCCGGAAAAGGACAAGTGAGGGGCAAACGGCTTGCCAGCGGAACAGGAAATGGGTCTGGGTCCCCAGAATGGAAAGAAGGTATGGCCATATGTCTACCGTCTTCACCCGAATATAATGCCCGGTTATTATAGCCATATTTGCGGCCACTTTCTGTCCAGATGCAGCAATAATGACCGGGCGTTCTATTCAGGTGAATAGGGTAGTGTGAGGGCCCCGAGAGCCTCCCAGCACGCAGCAGAGGGCCAGTTCTCGGGCTAGAAAAAGTGAAGGCCCAGTCAGGCCTAGACACGGACCTGATAGGGCACAGCCATAATTGGAAGACTTAAACCACCAGTACTTGGCCCAGCTATCGGCCGCGGGAAATAATAGAGTAGAAACGTTTCTAGTCGGATGAATTTAGGCACTCCTGTAGTGGCCTGTACGTTTCCTAAAATTGTGGCGCGTTAAGGGGCACCACTCTAGGAAGTACTGGTGGTTTAAGGAAGGCAATGCTTACTGGGTGGACAGGGACCCGGGTCTAATATTTAACGAAAAGACGGGGGCAGGTCAAAACATCATTCTGGATGTAGGATGCCGCCGGGAGGCCAGGGCTCTAAGTCAAGCAGCGCTAGGAGGAGAGAGCAGCACCTGGCATCCCAGCAAGCCCCAGCCATAGCTGGGCTGCCATAGCCTTGGGGTGCCCAAGGGGTAGAAGAAGGGTGGTGCTAGAAGGGAAGATCCATGGAGGAAGGGTGATGGAAGACACAAGAGAAAGAAGAGAAGTGTTATGATACTGGCCAATTTCGAATGCAAAAAGAAATGAATGAGCTTGAGAGGAGAGAGAGGGAAAGAAGAAGAAAAAGAAGAAAGAAAGAAGAAGACGATGATGTACACCAGCATAGACCAATGATAATGCTCTTCTTCTTCGCCAACCACTCTCCTCCTCCTTATCTCCTCCCCTCTTATTCAATCAAGAAATAATAATAGTAATGTTGAATGGCTGAACCAGAATCAATGTCCGAATCCCTCTTCTACTGCAGGCATCACATGAGGTCCACCATAGCCATGGCTGCTCTTCTTCCTCCTCCTTCCAAGGCCGAGGCTGTGACGGAATACCAGGGCATCGCCCTACTGTCCAAAGGACGATACAAAGCAGCTATGGCTGCTCTAGTTCAGGCCGCCATGCCTGACTCTGCCTCGAAGCTTCTTGGTGTAGCTCTACCCCAACTGGGGCCTTCCTGCTGCAGCGCCCACCAATGTGATGAAAATGGCGACCACCATAGCCAGGTAAGTACCTCTGGCGCTCCCCCTTCCTAGTCCTGGTCTTCTTCCTCCTCCGTGTCCTTGCTCCTTCCCCAGCAGCGCTGCTCCAAGCTAGCGTTCCAACCAGTGTGTCGCCAAACTTGCACACCGACAATGAGGAGGAGCACCTTGCTCCTCCTGGAGATATAGCGGCCTGCTAGCCTCTTGGCGAGTGACTTCCTAGGCCGCGCGGCCTCCAAGCAACCGATACCTCCTCCCTTTCGGAGGGAAACATCATTGCAGACTCTGATATTGCCCGTACAGGCCCTAGACTCAGACTGGTTGGACTGGTACCCGCCTAGACCTAGCCCACAACTACTAGGCCTCTAAAAATGCCAACTTTTGTCTTCTTCTGCTCGGCCTCGAGTACCCGACACATCTACCTCTACCTGGTGTGGTACCGACCTACCTGCTACATGGGTGTTTTCCGCTGCTTCAAGTGTGGCGGGCCTCTTTCCCCGCCACTTGAGTGTCTTCCCCGCTGCAATCCTCAATATCACGGCCACAGGTAAGTACCAGCCCTTCGGGCCCTCTGAACGAACAAGTGCCCTTGCAGGTCACACACACGCTCAAGCCGGCAAGCACTCAGACATGCATGCAGACCAGCAAGCATGCACACACACAGACTTAGAGAACTCAGCAACAAGTGGGAAACTCAGCAAGGCATTCATTCCATGAGCAACACTCAGAAATCAGCTGTGTGCTTCAGTCCGTGTTTGGCAGGTCATTACAGAAAGAAGAAATAGACAAGTTTGAACCAGTGTCATCTCCCTCTCCTCTTCCCCAGCTCATGTTTTTCAATGGGATCCTCCCCTTCCAATATGATCAATTAAATACAATAATAAATGAATGAGTGAACAAGGGCCATGTTAGAGTAATCCCCCTTGCTGTCAGCAGCCAAAGAGATTCCTTTTAGAATCACTCTTCTGTCTCTCCTCCCTTGGTAGCAAACTAGCTATGACGAACATCCCTGCAACCAGCAGTTGTTCAAAGGACAACCCAACTACTAATGTGCCTCTCCTGACTCATGCCACCATAGCCATACTCCCGGATGAAGTCCGAGACCCGCCGTTACAACCACAGGGGACTTCTAGATGGAGCGCCAAGCAAGGAACTGGAGATGAAGGCTCACCATAGCCAAAGGTAACTCTTCATGCCGGTTCCCTCCTTCCTCTCCCTCAACCTCTACTCTCTTCCTCCTCCCTTCACCATAGCCTAGCTTGAGGCATTTCCCCCTCTACCTCCACAACCTAGGCCTACAAGCTTCTACTACTACCTCCTTAGCCATAGAGGTCTTCCTCTTCACCCTCCAGCTTCACCGCTTCAGCCAGAGCTCCGCCTAACTCACCTTCTGGGTGGAGTGGCAGGATGAGTGCCAGCCAAATGTCCCAGCCTACTCATCGCACCTAATGATATACTCTTCGACTCCCAGCCTCCATCCCTTCCCTGGCCAGAAACTACTGCCTCTACCGGTGCACTAGGCCTACTGGAATTGCCCGAGTTTTGGCGGGGACATCATTGTCGAGCCGAAGGTTTTCGTGAGCGCCGAGGTTAGCGCTAATTCTGCGCTCCGTCGCCCGACAACTACCAGCTCCCACCCTTGGGCCACACGGACGGGAGTCAGCATCACGCCAAATGCGGTAATCTTCGAGACAGCGCTTTTTCGAATCTCGGCGGGAAACACGAGAGGGCGCCACGCCTTCGGGTGTGGTGAAGAAAATGCCATAACCAAGATAGCACCATCATCATCACAGACGAAGCGCTCGAAAGACACGACAACGAACCTCAAAGAAGGGTGCGCGGAAAGGCGGGGAAAGACTGGAAAAGGTCAACTCTCTTGAGAGCAAGCTGGGAATCAAGGAAGAAAAGGAAAGAAGTGGAGGGGAAGAGTGGCAAAGGAGGGAAAGCCCATTAAGGAAAGGACAGAAACGGACAAGAGGGATAAAAGACGGGAATCCATACGCGGAGGATCGAGGGAGTAAAGGTGAAGAAAGAGAAGGAAGAAACCCACACACAAGACACCAGGAAGACGCAAGGCACAGAGAGGACACCAGAGGAACTTGCGAGGAAGACTAACACGGAAGCGGCTCAATCAAGAGAAACGACACCGAAGAGGAGAATCGGGAAGATCGTTTTCAAGTAACTCCAAAAATGTGTCGAAGGTGAAACCAACCCGGTTAACTCGCGCCCAAAGCAAAAGGTAAGTCGCAACCTCACTGCCTTGCCGGGAGTGGTTTATCGAGCCGACCCTACTGCCGGTTTCATCCGCAACAATAATCAAGTGCTCGCCGAAGACGGCCAAGACAGACATCACGGAGGACACAACGGAGGCAAGCCTTAAACAGGATAGTCCGACTCTGAGTCATCGAACAGCGAAATCTTTCAGATTTCACAAGCGGAAGAGTAGCAAGAGTAACAGCAATCAGTGCCTCCGTCGAAAGCGACCATGACAAACGTCGTGGAGAGAAACCTAATTCGGGAAACCTTCCCCTTTAGAATGCGTAACTCAGTCCTCTAGATTGTGTAAGACCTTGGAGATCCCGCAATAGCTGCACAAAAGTTGAAACGACAGGGGGAGAGACGAGAAGGGAACAGGGAAGGAAGCAGCAAAGAAGGGAAATAAGGAGTCGCAACAGCGGAGAACCTTAGAGGGGTTCGCTCCACTAATAACAGGACAGAAAGAACACATAGTCCCTACTCCCACACCCTACCACTTTCCCCCACACATAGTCTCTCACATTAACTATCCACCTGGCTGAAGGACCGGAATGAACGGAGTACCCTAAGCCTTTTACTGCCTTTCATTATCAACCTTATTATTATTATTATTATTATTACTATTATTATTATTATTATTAATTTATTATTCCTTTTCTAAGAATATTTCAACTTTCAAGATTTATTTGACATCAATATTATTGTCATTAATAAGTTTATCACTACCATTATTTCATCGCCCCCGTTACTATTAATATTAATACTGTTACTAATACTTACTATCGCATTTATTTTACTTTCGTTACCGCTACACTCCTCTAAATTTAAACATGAACCATCCTTGGGAGGGCTTCCACCTACCTCGCCCCCTTACCCATCACGATTTCCGAATCTGAAACTCCCCAAGTGGAGCAGTGGTAGGTCCTTCCTTTTTCCAATCCCTTCTCGGAGACAGAAAATCCCGACCCCAAGCGGGGTAGGAAAATGCTGGCTGAATTTCTCTGATCTTCATCTACCTAGACCCAAACCCAACTCCCCCCGTTGGGACAGCGAAATTGACTCCAGATCAACACCTACTGTGCTCTCAGGGACTTCACTTCTCACCACCCTTTCGGAGAACAGATCCGGCTCTATTCCCAACAATAGCCATCACCTCAACATCATCCACTCGCCCTCAATAAGCCACTTGACACATTAGCGCCTCTTTGTCCCC